CTTTTTTCTACGCTGGTTTTATTCCTGCACTACAAAAAGTGTTGAAAAATATTGCTCAAATTTGGCACCTTTTGACTGCCTTAAAACAAGAGATGCCAATGGGACAAGCAAAAGGATCTAGTTTTTAAAAGATACAAGAAATATCTCCCTTGGAATAGGAAAATTAGGCAAATCTTGTTTTAACCTTGTCAGAATGTACTCAAAATAAGACAAAAAACATTACGATTCACCCACTTATTACCACATATTAAATCATTTTTTCGCAGTGTGCATTTTTCTCTGGTTTTATTCCTGTAAGCTTTACCTTGTTTGATTCATGTACTTGTCTGGTGCTACACTGGGGACTTTTGCAAATGTATTCCAATGTGGTTTTACAGCAAATGGCAAATAAAAATAGAATCTGAATCGAAAGTCCATGCATGCTGATTCACGCAAAACCTGGCCCACAGAGAAGCACTTTGATGTGTTTTTCAATCTCCAGCTCTCGGGCCTCGGCTGTGATTCAATGCAGATACACACTTCCTGTCCAAGGCCTCACACAAACTGTCTAGCTCTTCTCCAGACCAATGGTATTTACAAGAGCACTCCATCTTATCTCGTGACCCTGTCAGTGTGGAAGTTCAAATTCCAGATAGATTGTAACCGCTGTGATTGACTTGAAACAATTAGGCATTTTGCTCTCAGAAAGTGTTTGAGCAGAGAGAGGGAGAGACCGTGGATATGTGCGGACACTCTTTTCTAGCTGTCATCGCCATGTTTAACACTAGAAGTTAATTCGGTGGCTCTATAGTTTTGCGTATGGGCAACTTTAGTCTTGATAACTTTGTGACTATTTCGGTGTCTATAATTGATTTATTTCTATGGTCATTATTTTGATTAAAGATGCAGTCAGTGATTTTTTTCCAGACGCGATTTTTTAAATATTGTGGGAAAACATCCCTAAACCCTAAAAGTAGTCAAGGTATCATATGTTTTAAAATAGTAATTGGAATTGACCAGATGCCTATAGTCTCCAAAAATGAATACAAAATATTTTGGAGCGGACCGATACAAATAAACCAATGGGATTCGTTCACCCTCAACGAACCAATGGGAGTGCACCTGAGTTATCGTACTTTCTAAAACATTAAATGGCTGAACAGAAAAGGCCAAAATTTCACTTTTGCCACCCACTCTCCCTGACAAAGAAAATAAAATACTGGATGTTTGGTTTGGTGGAGAGGCGAGGGGGAGTGGTTTCGAGTTGGTGCTATGGCTAAGCTAGGAAAATCGCTTACTGCACCTTTAAGTTATATTTTATTTTTGAAAAGGGCTAGTATTAGTTACTATAGCAACACACTGTTTACTGTCAGCCGTTTGCATTTAGCCTTCGTTGGATCTAAAGTCATATTTACCAGTTTTAGCACTTATTTAAAAGTGGGTAACGGTTAATACCTTTACAGTACGCTGAAGTTGGAGATTTTAGACTTGCTTCCTTATTACGCTAAAGCTAGATATTTTATACATGCTTCTTTATTATGCTAACGTTAGAGATTTTAGACTTGCTTCCTCATTTCGCTGAAGTTGGACATTATACTGCATTTTATGTTATTACAGAGCAATTGTTCATTTATCTTGTGTTGTGTGCTCCTCATTCCTACTGTTCTGCGATGCAACACTGACATTTCCCCACTGTGGGACAAATATAGGATCTCTTAATCTTAATCTTAATTACTTACTTTTAATAAATCTTGTGAAAAACAACAACACATTTGGGTATTTAATTTCTCTGAAGTTCATTGGTTTGAATGTGAGCGGTCAAAATGCCGGCTCTGATATTTCCAGTAGTTTCAGGATTCTGGGAGAGCTCTTGTTCCCTGGGAAAGAGCTAAAAATCCAGATTCCTCAGGTCACCAGCAGTGCTAGAGAGAGCCAGGAGAGGTTCCAGAAAGGCCTAGTTTCTTGTAACATGGGCGTTTCTGTGGCTGAGGTCTGATCTATGAGCGCTCAGCTGGTGACATGGCTCACCTCCTTTCATCTGTGCATCTCTTTTATTCTCTTATCGGTGGATCGCTCAGTCTAACCCCTCTGTGATCAGCTCCTCTCTGGGACTGCGTATCTGTGTCTCATCGTGAGGCTCAAAGCAGAGGAAGACAGGCCACAGGGAAAAAAACAAAATGACAAATCCACAGATGGGCTCCATCTGATAATAATAATAATAATCCATCTGATAAAACCTTCTAACATGTGCACTCCTGTGGCTGGAAGTGGATAGCAAATTACCGTTTTATATTCTTTGGGTTATTATTTATTTTATTACCACAAATACAGTGGAAATATATCACAAAACAAGTATGATAAAGGACAAAGAGTATAACACTACTATTACAATAACAACATACGTACAACCATATACAATTTTGTTTTTATTTATCCAGGTAAGACTAATGAGAGCACCAGACTCTGCTCCACACTGAACAGAAATATGCACACACAAGCAAGAAAGTATCTAAGCAATCTATATAGGCAAGGCAGGAGGGCAGGACATGTGGAGGTTCCAGCTTAACGTTAGATCCATGTAGTCACAAATTCATTACATGTTAGTTCAAGCATCACTCAATGTCTCCTTTTTTCAACAAATGACATCTAAACGGCATCTACTCCAAGACAGAAGCAGTAATTATGTAGATTTTCCAAGGTAGCCTTTACAGTTTGTGGAAATCCATTATGAACTTACTATAACCAGCTATACTATAACTTTACATTGAAACACAGCAATTCAATATAATCATGGCTTAAATTTTGTGTCAGGAGTTACTGGATTTTTTCTTTTTTTATGTCATTACACTCTACAATGCTCAAATCTCAGATATAGGCAAAAGTACCCTTTGGAACTCACATACAAGGAAAACAATGGGCAACGGTTTAACTTGAGGTTTAATTTCAGTTTTTAAAGGTGGGAATGGTGATGACCATTCCCAGTCTGATATAAAGAATTAATGTTGCATAAAGGGTAATGCCACTGGGTTCCAGAGGATAGCAGAAAGGTTCCTTCTAAAATATTGACGAACCCCTTAGAGGAGTCCTGAGCACGTCTGCTATTCCCCAGTTTCCACCACCGACTGCGCACAAGAAATAACACAGCAGTGAAGGGCTTGAGCATTTAGAAAAAGTGTCAAACTGAAGTACTTTATAATGTGAATCATCTTACATTGCTTCAAAAAAGGTCTATTGTTGTGTCAATATTCCTCTTATAAATCATTTGATATTAGGTGTTTTGGTGGTTCACCGTGAATAAAGCTGACATAGCGCTGGAGGTCACAGAAGATGACACTCTCATTACATACACATGACATGCAAGAGCGGTCTTCTATGACACATCATGTTTTGTTTGCATGGGTGCCGGCATAAACACTATCAAACGTTTCATGCAAATCGAGGGGGCTCAACCATTCTTGTTGCTCGTAATTGCTCATAAACATTCCCAATCAAGACGCATGGGACGGCACGGATGAGAATTTAATCAGAGCTAACAGGGCTGATGAAGCCCACCGAGATGGTACATTTGTTTTGGTCATTAGGAACTTTTGTTGACCCAAAGAGCCAGCCAGCCAGGGCTCATCTTTACTGGCCTAACTGTGCGTGTCCTTGCTGGCCAATTGGTGTGCACTGATATCCTCCGCTTCCTAGAAGCCCAACAATTGTTTGCATGTCATCAAAGCAACAGGAGGCTGAGCGAAGAGAGTCCCATCCTCCAGGGCTTCGCTTGTGTCCACAGAAGTAAACAAAAACATGCCTGTGAGAGTGCGAGCACTTATGACAGGAGGAGAGTCAGGGTTGTCTAGACTTTGTTAAGTCTCATTTTGCAGATTAAAGGCTGCCACAGTGTTTGTCGCTGTTTGTTTAAAATGTCATGAGGCACCACAAGGTGGCTAACAACTTTTTGTCTCTTACAGCAAACAACTTTGTGAAGCCATTAACTATGGTGTTAATTAGAACCAACAAAAAACACAGCCTTCAGCTGTTTGTTTCCAATGGGCTTCTGCCCACATCACTCATACAAACAGGTCAGTGGGTATGCGAGTTCATTTAGAAGTTCATTGGATAGACTTGGATGAGATGATACAAAGAGATGCTTTTGTTGTAAACATCCAAATCCCACGAGAGTGAAAGGTGATAGGTCACCAGAGTGTTCAAAGCGCCCGTAGCCAAATCCTCGAAAGAGTAGATGAGCTAAACAGCCAGAATGAGTGGGCGAATGTAGAGTAAACAGTGTTTTGCAATCCTGCTTCACGATGTGAAACAGACACCAGCTCCACACAGCTGCTCTCACCCTGCCCTGGATCTGAGCATCTTCATCTCACTATTGAGAGGACCCACAACAGGATGGAGAAAAAAGGATTGAAACATTATGTTTGCTTGGACTTCAATAATGTTTTATTAGTTTTTAAATCAGAACATTAAAATGACGGATTACTGAGATTTGAATGTGTGTATTCATCTCAGGATCTGAACTCTGTTCAGAATTGGGACAAAGGGTTCTATTGGCCATAATTACTGAGCTGAAAGGTGAAGCTCAACTGTTGGAAACGTAACACCTCCATCACAGCGGTAGCACTTTGACAAAGGAGGTCAGTGTAAAGTCTGTTGATAGCGTTTATTTATGATTCCACTGTCCCAGCCTTTCATCAGAGCGCCGATAGTATCTCCTCTTTGCTTATTTATCCAAGCGGCAGCACCTCTGGACAGCTCTCATTCAGCACTTAATGTCCATAACGCTTTTGGGTAATTGTTGTTTTCCTCCAACCCTTCACATCTCACCCTTCCCTCCCAACCTCCCCGCTTCATAAGACTTAGCTCTTCTGTCCTTGCTGTTTATTTTCATAAGCCTCAACCCTGGACAAATACCCACAAGGTCAAACTTTGGGGGGCGGGGGACGGCCGAGGCCTAGTGCACGACTCCCTTCCAAAAAAAGGTGCCCTGGAAATCTGTTGAGCTGACATAAATTTGTTCCAGTTGCATGGAGGAGCAGGAAGAATGTGGTGGATGCGTCCCGGCGGTGGAGGTGGTTTGCATTGAGTCAGGTCTTGCCCGGGCGAAGGGGAGCTTACAGCAGGGATCACTCCGCCTCGCTCAGCTCTTGCTCGCTTCAAAGGGCCGCGGGAGGAGAGCTTCTGTGAAATACTACAATAACAGCCAGTATAACCACCCTTTCAAAACACGACCGGACCGGGCCAGGCCTGAGAGGTGGGAACGGGACGGGAAGGGAAGCAGCTCCAGCGAAATACGGAGAAAAGATAGAGAACATGTAGTGCCGGCGCTCCAGGCAGTGGGAGTACAGAGATTAAAGCAAAAGTAGTGTCAAAAAACAACCATGTCTGTTTGGGTAGTGGATTATTGTTGAACATGCAAAACCTTTATTGGTAACACCCTGGCTACGTACACACTGAAATGCAGCATTCGCACACCTGGGATCTGCCAAGGTCAACCAGACTGTTGCACTCTGGGACCTTTTGGAGAACAGTAGATTCAGCTGCAGACAAAAAAGACGGCAAATAACTCATATTTTTGGTAAAGTACTGTACTCAAGTTCTTTCCTCATGTCTGTGCTTTACCTGAATATTCTTTCTTTGGACAGTGTTTTGCTCTTTACTTGTAATATATCAACACAGATTTATTTGTATAACACAGTTTGTACAGAGCACAATCAAAGTGGTTTAATCACATATCGGTACGTTCTATTTGTTATTTAAAGTAGGTTGGGTACTTTAAGAAGGTAGGATGAGACACTTCTAAAATGGCATAAATAGTCACTTTAGATGTTACGCTTATAAAATATATATACTTATACTCAGACAATCATCTTTCAGCCCAAAACATCAAACTCACAGGGGTCTTTTTTACATTCTTAAGTATGATAAAAAATGATAAGATAAATACAGCATGTTGAGGTCTGATTTTGACTCACTTTGTGTTGAGAAAACCAAATATATCATTTATGGGAACAATCAAACCAGTATCTCACGTCTAATGTCTTTTCCTTGAACATTGAAACATAAAGGTAAGCTACAGTCAACCTTCACCCAACATTTAACAGCATTTATGGACTTTATCAACATTTATGGACATTGGTCGTTTGCCTTTTATGGACCAAGGGCTCTATGTGTTTTTTATCATTGCATTTGAACTGTTTGATTCTCTAATATATGTAAAGTCCTCCGAGATAACTACTGTTGTGACTCAGGGTGTTAGAAAATTGAATTGAGTAGAAAACATGCGCTGTACTTCAGACAGACTGCTTGACTGACACCATTAATAACTGTCATTATTTAGAAGTTCCACAGTAGCTCTTATATGTGGATTTTAGTAGTGCTTTAAAATGTTTTTGTACAGTCTGGCCGGTGACAAGAGCAGGGAACATTTGTAATATAACAGCATTGAATGACTGCACAAAGTCTTTTATGATCCGCCGCAAGATTGTGTTTCCCACTGGGGAAACCCATAGTAAAAACGTATGACCTCATCTAACTGAATGGTTTATGCTTTCTTTTTCTATAGTGGCTTTGCACAGAAGGAGACGCTTTGGGGGATGCCACTGTGTCGGGGTGCCCTTCCTCTGCCATGGAAAAGGTACTGTTTCCAAAACTGCAAAAAGCCCGACACATGGAAGCCATCAGCGGGGACTGCGGTGTGGAGCCCGCAGACTCACACACATAAACTATATGTATTTTCAGCATCAAACGGCCAAGACAGCGCGCACACACATGACAGTGTGTGAATGTGCGAGCCACTCACTCAGACGTCTATGAACTCCTGTTATTCGCTCCATGACAGCCAAATAATCCCTCCTCCCTGTGTTTTTTTGGGTCTGTAACCTCAGAAGAAGATTAGTTCATATTTTCCCCCAAATGTATGGAACAGTCCCTTGTGATGGACTTGTAATGTGTTTTATAGAAATACTACAAGTCACCCCGTAAATGGGTCACCTGTCTACAAGTACGATGTGTCATGTGCTCCTTTCCAGCTCCCAAATGTCTTCTCTAATGAGCCCAGTGATTTCGGGAGGAGAAAAACACCACAACCCTTTTTCCAATAATGCCTTTCACTTTCTCTCCCTCTCGCTTCCCCCTCTCGGCTCAAACAAAAGCTGTTTGTCCGCTGGTGTAATGTGTAAGGCTTTATGCGCATTGGCCAGTCTTTGGGATTTTGGAGTGTCATATTTTGCTCTCAACGTGTTGTGCAATACAAGTTTGGAGAAAGGATAGACAAATTGTGGGTTTTGTCACCCGACTCTAAACATGCTCTGTGTGTGTATATCCTCATTCATCTTTCTTATGGCTTGAAGGCAGCAGGTATGTGACTAAACACTGTACCGCGACATACCATGCAGTAGATTGTTCTGCTCCTATCTGGATGTGATGAGGTTCGATGTAAAACTGCATACACGTGAATTATTATTATGTGGTTAACCTTACCTAAAAAAAAAAAAATCTTGTAGAAATCTGGTTGGAACAAGGCCTTTCTCCCAGTCTTTCCTCTCGGGGGTGCTCCTGTTTTTCTAGACATGCTCCATAGCTCCCTTCTCTTTGGGGCCAGGACTCCCCTGATGAAGAGATTCTGAAATCTCAGTGGTACTTTCATGGTTAGATGAAGGTCAATCAAACATACGTAATATTGTGAGTCCAGAATTGCAAACTGAACTGCACCAAATCAAAAGTCATCCTCGTTGACCACGTCGTAAGTCTCTTGGGAATCTCATGGGAATGATGTCTCACTTCCTTTGCTCCTTCGGCTGTCAGACTGTGCAATAAACCTGGATGAGTCTTCTGCTGCTGGACATCTGTATTTCTCCTACAGGGATCAATTAAGTATCTATTTATCTATCTATCTATCATCAAAGATTCTCTAATTCTTTCTTCTTATTTCTAATGACAACCTAACAATATAGGTAATCTCAAAAGAAACAATAATTAAGAAAAAAGGCTCAACCACCTTTAAATAAATGTGCAGGAAAACACAAATATTTCTGAATATAAAGACCAGATGTCCAAGTAAAACTCCATTTCCCCATCTGAAACGTTTCCCATGAATTTCCGATGAATGTAAATGACGGCGTTTGCTCGGCCTGAGTGGCATTGTTCCGTAATGAGCACTTGAGCTCCCTAATACCACATGCTCTAAGGTATATATTATTGACACATGGCTCCGAGCCCGTACTGTAGCTAACATGACAGTAATCATAACTCAGCAGGAAACGGTCACCACTGGGTTGATGAGCTACATATGCTCGGCCCCCCTCCTCCTCCTCTCCCCCCAGTGCCATGAATGGACAGGGCCCCATTCCTCATCTCTGCACCTGACACAAGAGTGCACAAAAGGGGCACAGTGTCAGTTCCGTCCAGTATTAGATCACCCAGGACGCATTTCCCCTTTAAAACGCTTCATGTTTGGCCCACAGATTTTATTTCTCTGACAGTAAAAGACCACTGGAGCTTTACACGTATTTTACCATTGTGACAGAGAGAATGCTGGAAGGAAATGTTTTCTTTTTGATAGTTAGTGTTGTCTTTGTTCCTCCGTCTGACATTTTTTGGAAAAGGATTGTCGTATTAATCAGCAACAAACGTGCACACGGCCCTCCAGAGACTCCAACCAAACAGTGTTTGCCGAAGAATTTCCACATTTTACAGTAATTTTCATTGAGCTGTAGTTGAAAACAATCTATTACTCGTACAAAGGCCAATCCAAGTAGTGTACGGCTCTCCTGAATGATCTAAAGTCCCATTATGTTTATCTTTCATTATGTAATGCAGCCAATAAGTGATGTTAAAGGCAATTTAAATATAACTCTCTTCTTATCAGATTGACATTATTTTATGACTACAAAGTATTTCTCCTATCAAAGAGAAAACATCCATATTGCTTATCCGGTATTACTCGTGAACCTTTGAATCAAAGGGAAACTGAAAAGATGACTGCGCAACTTCGGGCCTTTGATTTTGCCAGTTTGTTATTAGTCAGCTAAAAAGTACTCTGAGAATGTCATAAACACTAGAGCTCAAGAAATGGGCCTGAATGGGGCTCGGTTCTGCATGACCGACCCAGCGAGTACCAGGAACGTGTTTGAAGTCCATCTCGGGGTGTTATGAGGGCCAAGTTAATAAGATCCCTGTCGTAATGGCCTGCTCTATGGCTGCATAGAACTTTACTGCGGCCCTGGAATTCAGCTCTTAGCATTGACATAAAGTGGGGTACCGAGTTGTTCAAGCATCGCAATTCTGCTAACGAACAGAAATGACTGGCTGCCTGCATGTGCCGTGCCCTAAAGGTCAGGAAGCCATGTCCTGGGGGACGTACAAGAGAGGACGTGCAGTTACATTCCTCCCTTAGTTTTCTCTATCAGTAATTAAGCCTTTGCACACACGCCATTGTTAGTATATTCCAGTGTGGAGGTACAGCTTGTTCACATTTTACACTGAGGATCTTGACCACATAGATACATTGAGTTCATGCAGTGACACATTAACCCCTAAATGCTCTCTGATGTGGGGCCTTCTATCGGGCTGTTGTCGCACAAGCATTTTAATTTGCTCACACACGCTTGCAAACAAACACATTAACATAATAAACATAATGCAAACACTTGCACGCACACACTCACACAGCCACCCCGGAGGTCAGCGGTCAAAGTTAGATGTGGTGCCAACACTGAACTCATTTAACTACACTGCTCAAAGATGGATGCCCATTGTACTGTGTTGATCAGCGAGCAAGTGCTGTTTCATAGTACGAGAGCGCAAATGGTAGAATAGGAGGTCACACTAGACAGCATCAGAGTGGCCTCTGGTTCCAATGGCTTACAGCGGCTTAAAGAAGTATTCATCCCCAATGATGTGAATTGGGTGGCAGCTGATTGCCACCCCTCCGACCCAGAAATGGACAAAGGGGAAGAAAATGGATGGATACCCAATGTCAAAGTTACATTACCTTCATTGTCCCACTAGGAGAAATTGGTTTTGCAGCAAACAATCATCTAAACAGAGGCAGACACAGTAAAGTCACAACATTGAAGATGACAAGAGCAAAAGAGGATGTCACAAAGCTAGCTTCAGTGCAATAGTTTTGGTATAAAGTGCTGTGTGCTGTTAAGGTGCTGACATAGCTGTTGGGATAAATTTAGTTCCCAATCTTTTTCTCCTGCACCCAAGAGCCCTATAGCGTCGTCCTGAGAGTAAAAGTTCAAAGAATCAATGATAGAATTGGCTTTTCTGAGAACCTTCTTACGTTTTACTTTATGTTTTTACAACCACAAACATAAAGTTTTGATTCAATTCACACTGCATTTTGAAGTCCAAAGAACCCAGCAGGTCAAGAATGCAGTTGAGGTGTGTTACAAAAGTTTCCCCATGCTTTGAACATTTCACAAAACACGGTTTTAACATTCATGGAATGAGGGAAATAATATGGTACCACTACAAACAAGACATGGGCATCCACCCAAACTCACATCTCGAAACAAGGACAAGACAGATCAGAGATGCAGATAAGAGGCCACTGGAAACTCTGAAGGAGTTGCAGACATCTGAGCTGCTGTTCATGGGGCAAATATTAGTCATACACTACACAGATCTGGCCTTTATGGACAAGTGGCAAATAGACAGTGTTGAAATAAAGCCACAAGCCACCAGGCTGGGGCCACAGTCAACATGTGGAAGAAGATATTGTGGTCAGATGATGGGTTTAATGCCAAAGCTAGGAGTGGTGTCTTGCCAAATGTGATGCTGAAAACTGTCAATTCCAAACTTCACCACCACCCTGCTTTCAGTGTGCTCCAAAATACGTTCAGCTTCTTTATTCCAAAATGTAGTAGCAAGAATATTGACAGGGGCGGCACGGTGGGTGAGTGCATAGCACTCTTCCTTCTTAGCAAGAAAGTCCTGGGCTGGGATCCAAGTCGGAGTTTGCATGCTCTCCCGTGTAGGTTTTCTCCGGGTGCTCCCATTTCTCCTACCACAAAAAACATACTCAATAAATTCCTCCAGCTCTGGTGATCCTGACCAAGCTGAGCATTAACATCTGGAGATCAATTAATCAATCAATCCAATTTTATTTATAAAGCGCTTTTCATACAAAAACTGTAACACAAAGTGCTTTACAGTTTAGTTGAAAACAATCCAACATGCCCGGCCCTAAACCCTCCTCCCCACAGACCCCCCCAAAACCACATTTATAATTATATATACAACCACATGCATATACACACACACACACACACATATACACACACACACACAGACACACACATACAAGTATAAAGTCATATCAGGTAAAATAGGTAAAACAATAAAAAGAAATGGGGCTGGGAGCAAATGTAACCAGCTGAAGAATTGCCATCCAAGGAGCCATCTGCACCAGGAGCAGAGAGCCGGCTGCAGCCACAGGGAACGACACAGGACCCAGAGGAGAGAGGGGCCCCAGACCCCACCAGGCCCAGGACTCAGACCCCATAGGACCCAGAGGAGAGAGGAGGCCCCAGACCCCCACCGCATCCAAGAGCCAGACCCCCGAAGCCACAGCAGACCCCAGCTCTCAGTGCAGAGGGCTCCTCCAGAGGAAACACTGGGGACATTAAAACAATACAATAATACAATAGAAAGTAGAACAATAAAATGAGACACTAAAAAGAAAAATGGCAGCTGCCTAATATTGGTAAATAAAATAAATAATAAAAAATAGTAAATAATAAAAAATAAATAAAAATAGAATGT